GGACAGCAAAAATTACCCTCACCTTTTAAATACAGAAACACAGAGGAACAGAGAAAAAGTACTTAGTGTCATGGTGAAAAATATGTGATTTTGTGATTTTTAAAAAATGATTTGGCCTATTGAATGAGTCTGTATTTGTAATATTCTACTTCATAATGGGGAATTTAAGACTCTTTGAAAGAAATGGATGGACTTTGGTTGTGTTGAAAAAAAGAACTGAAGGCCAGAAAATTTGGGTCTCAGAAATAATTTGTTGTCATAATTGTGATTATATAAGTAAAATCTATCAAATTGAAAGACATTACTCTTTAATGAATCTCTAGGTACCATAGGCAGTTCTTCCCAAAGAGATGTCGATTCCATTCTCCAACACCCACTACCGAATTCCACAAGGATTTGGGAATCTTCTTGAAGGGCTGACACGCGAGATTCTGAGGGAGCAACCGGACAATATACCAGCTTTTGCAGCAGCATATTTTGAGAACCTTCTAGAGAAAAGAGAGAGTAAGCTTTTTAAAAATAAGAGACTAAACTTTGGTTATGTTAAAACTTGCTTAAGACCATCTCCATTCCACAGAAAGCCTTTTTAAGGCAGGTAGCTTCAAATAACCGTTCTTACTATTTGGAACAGTATGTGCCTCTTTGATAGGTTCTCTTAAATTAGTTTCACATCATTGAAGATTACCAGTTTATTGCCCAGACCTTCTTTATTGTGTTTCTCATGAATACACAAGGTAGAAGGGGACTGTGAAAAATCATGCAGTCTACCAGTTACTTTGCAGCAAACTGTTCCTATACATCACAGGCAGTTGCCTGTCCATTCCTCCTGAGAGGAGAGTTTGTGGCTTTCTTTAAATTTTGATTCTTCTCATTTTAAAGTATTATGTGTTGCTAAAAAAAAAAAAAAACAAACTGTTCCTATACATCACAGGCAGTTGCCTGTCCATTCCTCCTGAGAGGAGAGTTTGTGGTTTTCTTTAAATTTTGATTCTTCTCATTTTAAAGTATTATGTGTTGCTAAAAAAAAAAAAAAATTCTACACTCCTTATATTAAATAAATTGGTATTCACTGGGATATATGAAACTGTTCTGCAATAAAGGTGCAGAGACAAACTGCTTTGAAAAGTGAACTGCTGGCTTGAGAAGGTAATTTACATTCCTTATACTCTCAAAGTCCCATACTGCACAGAGGCTAAGATCCACGCTAACAGTAACTCTTTGGTTGAGAGCCAAAGCAAAGTTCCTTTATTTCCATAAACAAAATTTTCAAATCCCCAGCCTTGAAGGTTCATGACTATCAGGTCCTGATCCAGTTGTCAAAATGGAAATTATCACAGCAATAAGTTTGTGGTAAAAACCTATTCTTGGCTAGAACAACCATTTTGTGTAAGCTGTTATTATCATTACTTTAGATTACAGTATTCCATCAGAGTGGTAAAGGTAACTAGATAGCCACAAGCAAACAAACATTCCATGGTAAATCATTTTACAGAGGGAGGAAATCAAGGCTTGAATTAAAACATCTCCCATACACACAGCACTGCTACTCCTCCTTGCCTTCTTTGCCCTGCTGTTGCATGTTCTTGAACTTCCTGAATGTTGCTTGTCTTTTCCATATCCGGTTGGTCGAAATATTTGCTGCACAATCTGAAACTTTAACTTCTACTAAAAACATCTTATAAACAATATTAAGAGGGAAAAGAGTTATTAAGAGAAATCCTTTGGGAAAAGAGGTGAATTGTAACAAACATTAATTGTTATTATAACATTAATTTTACAAATTCATGCGGTAAAAAATCTTAAGTCATTTATTAAATTTTAGAACTGAGAAATATCCCATTTCAAAAACATTTGAATTACTGTTACTGGATCACAGTAATTAAAGCAATTGATGATTCAGATTAATGGTCTTGGGATACTAGCACTAGCTCTCCAATAAACAATGAGTAAAACCATTTGAAAAACCCGCTTCCACCCATGTCAACCAAAGGTGAATTATCAAATAGATACAAGCATCAGAATTTAGTCTCTCCAAAAAAGAAAAAAAACCCATTATAGATCTGTAGCCCAGTCTCCCACACAATGCAAGAATCCCCTTGCCAGCAGTCTTCATAGGTAATTAATTAGTAATACTACTTTTTTGTGTGTGTGACATGAAGCATGTTGTTATACAGTATAAGTGGTATCTCAAATCACTAGAGAAAAAATGGACTTTTTCTTAAATGATGTTGGAATAAAGAAGGAAAAAGATAAAATTGGATCAATTTCTTAGTTAATACACCAGGGTAAATTCCAAATTGTTGGGTTTTTAAATATTTTTTTAAAAGAAACCATACAAATAGTAGAAGAAAACATGGATGAATTTCTCTATAATGCAAGAGAAGAAAAAAATTTGTTAAGTTGACTTAATTGCTTCAAAAACCCAGAATCAATTAGAGGAAAAAAAATGATAAAATTGACAACATAAAAGTAAACTTTTACATGACAAAAAAGCACCATAAGGGAAATAAAACTACAAATAACAAACTCAAAAAAGATATTTATAATTTTTGTCCCAATGGGTTAATAAACCTAATAAAGAGCTTGTAAAAGTGTTATAGGTTTAGGGGCCAGCCTGTGGCTCACTTGGGAGAGTGTGGTGCTGATAACACCAAGACCACGGGTTTGGATCCCTATATAGGGATGGCCGGTTAGCTCAATTCAGAGAGCATGGTGCTGACAACTGGTGCTGATAACACCAAGACCACAGGTTTGGATCCCTATATAGGGATGGCCGGTTAGCTCAATTCAGAGAGCATGGTGCTGACAATAGCAAGTCAAGGGTTAAGATCCTCTTACTGGTCATCTTTTAAGAAAAAAAAAAAAAGTGTTATAGGTTTATAACAACTCTATAGAAAAAAATGGGCAAAAGATATGAGCAAACAATTCATTCAAAAATAAATACAAATGGCACTTAACCTATGAAAACACACTCAAACTAACACATAGTAACAGAAGTCGAAATCAAAACTACACTGAGCTACCACCACCATGAACAACCACTTCATCATATTGACAAAAAGCCAAAAGTTTGCCAACATGGACTCTGTAGACAAGGCTATGGAGAAATGAACACTTATGTACGTTGCTGGTGTAAATGCAAAATAGTACAACTCCAAGGAGAGGAACTTGGCAGTATCTACCAAAATTATATATGTATTTAACCTTTGACCCAGAAGTTCCACTTCTACATTTTTCATTGTATCATTATTTGTGTAAACAACCGAAATATCCATAATATTGGATTGATTGAAGAAACTAGAGTACATCCACACAATGGAATAATATACAGGTCTTTAAAGCAAAGAATGAAGATCTCTAGATGATGCTGTGGATTAATCTTCAAGATATATTCAGTGAAGAAAGCAAGGTGCGGAAAGTGTGCTTAGTATGCTACCATTTAACAAAGGAGGCTGATATGAATACATTAACTGTTCATTTATATTTTTGAATGGAAGAACAAATCTTTAAAAAGTTAATGTTTACCTCTAGGTGAGAGGGAACAGTGTAGAGGCAACTGGATAGAATATACCATAAATTTGGAATCATAAATGTTTAGCATAGCTATAAAATAAATTTTTAAATTCTTAAGCAATTTCTAAATTTTAAAAGCAAAGTGAAACAAATAAACCTAACTAGCCTTGACTGGGTGACATAACTACACAGAAAGGAATTATTTCAAATGACTTCATAACATAGTAATTTGACTATACATCCCCAGTGGAAATATCCTAAAAACAATGTGAACTAAAAAAGACCTTAGACTGTTTTCAGTAATTATTATTAATAATAATATATATGGTTATTCTGAAATTATTTTTTAATATATTGTAGAACAAAGCAAGTAAGTAACTATGCTAATGTTATTAGGAATAAGATTTTTAGTGTAGGAAAAATGACATGCAGGCCCGCCCAGTGGCGCACTGAGTAGTGCGCCGCTTGGGAAGCGCGGCAGCGCTCCCGCCCGAGGGTTCGGATCCCACATACAGACTGGTTCCCGCTCACTGGCTGAGCGAGGCGCGGGAGCAACACCGAGGGTTGCGATCCCGTTGCCGGTCCCCGGTCCGGTACGGGGGCAACACTGAGGGTTGCGATCCATTGCCGGACACAGAAAAAGACAAAAAAGAAAAAAAAAAGAAAAATGACATGCAATTATAAAAATGAAAGAAGTAAATAAAATCCTGTAACAAATTTGAATTGAAAAATATCAGTGTGACTTCATGATATGTTTTCTCTTTTAAAAAATGAAAGAAGTATATTCCAGCTCTGTCCATTAAACAGGTCTCAAAATAATGACCAACCCCGTACTAGTGAGCACCTAGCCCCTAGACTGGCATCTCTGAATACCATTTCCCAGGAACCACAGCTTCTTAGAGAACTAGCTAATTTTATGAACTGGACAGGAAATACACAAGATAAGGCTGAACACCTTGCTATACCAAAAGACAAGGAAGCTATCAAAGATTACTAGAGTTGTTTCCAAAGGACTCAGGAGCATCTGAGCACCTGAGTAAGTTCCCATTGGCCAAATTTCGGACAATTAGAGCATCAGTAAGAATGATAAATGCAGCGGATTGAAATTCATTCAATATGTTAAATATTCATGAATTCATAATGGCAAAAAAAAAAAAAAAGGCATTCATTGGTCACCTTGAGAAGGTCCTAGGGAACTAACTGATTATTCCGAAAACTGGTAAATAAAGGAAAAGAAACAAACATTTAACCTTCCTTTTCTGTAAGAACTGTACTTCATAGTAACCAAATAGTTGATGAGGGTAAGTTTTTCTTTATTGAATATTCCAGAAAATAAAGAATTAATGATCAAATTCAA